GGCGAGAGCGGGAGGCGTGGGCGCCTGTGGCGCGTTAAGTGCAGCACTGACGGATTCATGCGACGTCCTCTGGCGCGCGATGGCGTATATCCGCCGGTGGAAATGGCGTCCGGAGGCGCTAAGGGGCCATCACGTGACGGATGGACGACGATTAGGGATGCGACGTCGAAGTCGATGTTTTAGAGACATGGATGTTTGCATAAAGTCATCGATGGATTGATTAACATATATTTTTTAAGTCTGTGATTTTTTTAACATTGATGTTTTTACGTGGTTGATGTTTTATTTGTAATGAAAAAAGTACCATGATAACAAAAAAATGTAACGTTGTTCAGATATTAATAAATTATACGTTTTTCGGCCAATGTGGGGAAGAACGAGAATAACCAAAATCGAGCTTTAATGTTTGGTTAATGAACTCTATATAATTTTTTAAATCATCCAGTCAGGTGATAATAGTTTTGGCTAAATGTCCGCGACAATTTTGCCCTGTGTTTTTCGAAATAAATCTCAATTTAAAATTAATACGCGCTGCAACCTTAAAATTCAACGTGAACATGAATGATTTTTGCAGTTTTAAGAATATTGCTGTTAACAAAAAACATCGATGGTTTTGAGACGGTGTTTGATTAACATCGATGTTTTTTTAAATTTTGATCATCGATGATTAACAACAGATTTTTTTTCAATGTCGCATCCATAACGACGATAGCGGAGGTTGACAAATACGAGTATTATGTGGACAGAGAAGAAAATACACGAAATGGCTCGAGGGATGTGGCGGTCAATGCCGTAGCCAGAATTTCCATCTGGAGGGAGCTCCACGAGCGCTCACATCGAACACAAAAAAGTTACGAAATTGTGTCACAATTTTTTCCCGTCGGGGACGCGAAAAGTCTGGATATAATTTATTTATCTCACCCGTACTAAAGCCTCTCCCTGGGGGGCTATAGGTCCCCGCGCCCTCCCTCTGGCGACGTGCCCGGCGGAGATGATTTGTTAAAGCGTGGGTGTGGCAACCGCTACGGCAATATTCCTCGCGGTGGTTGTAACGGCGCTGTTGCAGCGGTAGTGTTGACGCCGGCGAGCGCACGGGGTCGGTGCCGACAGAGATAGCTGTTGTTGTTCGTTGTTGGGTGTGAATATCTAGGATTTTGGAGCACGTAAGCTATTGAGGTCACGGTGCCCTGAATGCAGTGCCTGTAATATCGTGTGTTGTGCCGGTATTCCTCTCCTGCTGGTAAAGATGATCCGGCGCCGATTTATGCTTCGGTTTGCGCGGGGAGGGGGGCTTCTTGTATCTTCTCCAGCGAGGCACCGCTCCATAGGGATCAGCTCTAAGCTGCCGAATGCTTTCCCGGCAGGTGTAGCAGTGTAGAGCATGATATTATGTGTAAGAGAAGAGAAGACAATGATGAGGAAGGAAATATCACCTGTTGTCCGTGACCTGTTTGTTACGATGCCGCTCTGGCATTCGATAATTTTGATTGGAGAAACCACGGAAAATTACCGATCAGAGCAGCTCGTTGGCAGAATTCTCCAAGCGGCGTCTGAATGCGTTCAGCTTTGTAGCTAGTGTGTACACTCCGCAACCGTCGGATCCTAACCCTAAGATCTTCCACTCGACAACACCGCAGGGAGAAGGGCTGCCGGGGAGCAGTCACAGTGGGTTTGGCGTCTGCGGCAGTGCCAGCAGCAGCGTGGGTGGCGTCGGCGGCGTCGCTTGGGCCCCAAAGCGCCCACATACGAACTCCAGAGACGGCGGCTGCGGCAGCGAGCGAATTGCCTCAATTAAGCGGCGCTCCGGCAGCGCCGCTCGCCCCCGCCCCCGCCCACGGCCCCGCGTGGCTTACGCCCGCCGCAATCGCCCGCAATGGGAGCTCATTGCGAGTCTTTCAGCAAGATTCCCGCGCTTGTTTTGATTTCCTTCATGAAAGCATCTCGCAGATATGCGGAGTCGCATTTTACGCAGTTCTAAGGATCTGAAAGTCTATTGCAGTCGAAGTCTGTGATGCGATTCATTAGAGAAAGTCGACTTTTCTTCGCTTCTGTATTATTTGGCCACTTTTCAAATTACAGTATCGAACATTGGCTCTTTGTAATTCAAAATGTGTTTGGGAAGCCTTTCAGTAGTTGCATAGAAATGACAGATATTCTTTTCTTTCGTTTCTACACCTTTTGTAGTATGAATTCTTTACTTGAAAAGAAGTGTGGAATAAACTTGAACTAATTATTTAAATCACTTACATTTCAGCTTTATATTACGACTTCGCTGCGGCCTTGTGAGAATTAGTTCCTGTACTTATAAAATCCAGATTTTGTGACTTTTGTAACTGAAATTCCTAAAGTCCGACAGTTACTTATTTTCTTCCAATATAAGAGTATATGTTCATCCTTAAGAATGGA